AAAGACAAAAACATGGACTAAAGACAATACTGAAGTACTGACAGTACTGAAGTACTACCCCCTGCATCTATTTGATAAATGAGATACTGGTTTTATGCTGCAACTCATTAATGAGTTGACATGGAGGGTAACCAAACCAAAACAAAAATGAAACCCACAAATCTAATACTTAATAAATGGATTTTCTTTTGAAAACAGACCAGCAAAATGCCAATAAATAGAAATAAAAATGAGTCTTTCTGGTGAGAGAGGTCCTATACTACCAAGGACAAGGCAGTTCCCCTTCCTAAGATGAGGAGAAACTTCAGACCTCACAAAACAGAACGCCCCATTAGAAAGAGCCAATGAAGGATTTCTGTGGAGTATACTAACATTTCATGTATGTACATTTTTAAATGGTGAATATACGCTATAGTGTGAACTTAGTATCTGCTGAGTGTTACTTTTTAAATGGAAAAATGTAATCATAGAAACACAGGAATAAAAAAGATGCGTTAGTGTGTGTAGCCCAATTTTTTAGAATGATACCTACCAAATATTCCACTTCTCCTACTGTTTTTTTCTAAATTCCATTTCAGTACTGCATGTGTTTTTGTGGGATCAATTTTTCCTCCACAGTTCCATCGTGCAGGGATACAGAATAAATTCCTTCTTGTTGGAATATTCTTCTATTTACCATTTGACTTAAACTAGTTTAAAATTCAGAAGACATCTAGAAGCTTTTATGCAACAGAGTACACCTGTGTGTTAATGTAAATGAAACATTATTATGTTGAGATTTTTTTTATATTCAATACTATTTTAGTATAAGTGATAGTGATTCAAGCTCCTTTGGTGAATATGGGGGTGGGGGTTGCCATTTGGAATGGTCTTTTTTCTTTTCTTTTTTTTTTTCTTTTTTTTTTTTTCTCCCTTATGAAGGACCATTGCCTTGGCTTTTTTGGTTATTGTTTTTTTTTTTTTCTTTTTTTTTTTTTTGAAGACCATTCCATTTCTTTATTTTTTAACATCTTAAAGTCATAAGGACTTATATGCAAAGCAGTCATACACTTTATCATTAAAACCCATAGGTAAAATACGTACACAAATCCAACAAAAGGCTAGTACATAGTAAAGCCTAAGCATACTACTATGCAATATTATGAATACATAACTTTAGAGACTTCAGTTTAGTACTGTTATCTATTCATTTCTGAAAACATTCACAAAGATTTTAAATGCAAATTTTCATTCCGTATCTGGAATAGAACAAAAATTATCTATGTTATAACAACTTTCGGTCATTTGTGTTTGACCAATTCGGTAAATTACAAAGAACCCAAAGAATTCTGTAACTTTCTGTAGAACTATGTAATAAAAACATTGCATATGTTCCTAGTATGATGTCTTTAGCAATCATTTACTGAAATGTAACTCAAACATCAATCTCTCAAAATGTATAACCGACCAGCTGCTTTTTAGTCTATATCCGAATCCAACTTCATCACAAAACCCCTTTTAATACAAAGATGCAGAAGTACATTAGGTAATACTAATGCAACACAGGTGCAGTTCTAGCATTGTCACTGATCAGTTGAATCATCTTCTCCATGAACGAGATTCATTATCCTCCTCTTCTTCATCATCATCTTGAAGCAGCGAGTCATCCACCAAAGACTCTTCCTGAAACTTCAAGAGAAAAACATGATACTCTTATGTCAGAAAATGTTAAAAGACCAAAAGGCAAAATACAAATCTCTGATACCTGCAATTTAATAAAGAACAAATTTATTTTTAATAGGGAAACAGCAATGCTTTCAAAAAAGTATACTGTATGTATATGTACTATATACATATACTAACAAATAGCAAGTGACACTACTTTTTTTTCTTTTTAATGGACTTCAAAATGACCAGGACATATGTACCTCATACTTAAATAGCTCTTCTGATTCTTCAGCATATGATTCATGCCCAAGGTGCAATGTTCTCATGAAACTTAAGAAGCTATACTGAAAATGAGTATTAGTTTTGCACATTCATAGTTCACTATGCCTGTTTTCATCCAAGAGCTTGATCTACCTGTGCCACAGTACCAAAACCGCTGAATCTGAGACATTTTGATTTTTGACAGCTTAGTCAAAACTGATTTAAATTAAAAGATTGGGGCAGGGAGACAGGTATTTATAGAAATTTAGACAAAATATATTAATGTATTTTCAATTCCTTTCAATAACAACATAGTAACTTGATAGACTTCACAAACCCCTGAACATTTCAGGTCATCAGTTACAGGCTTCAGAGAGGCTAAGTTAAAAAAAAGAAAGATAAACAGTGAGTTGTTTTAGTTTTTATCTACATATAGACACAGCGGTGTATATATAAACTATTCCATCTCAGAACTTTGACAATTACAGCTATCACAGCAATTTCTGCACTAGCTAAAGAAAGGACTGAAACAAGTACCAAAATCTCCCAGCTGTTAGACCACAGTTACAATCTTCCTTGCTTATTCTTCTTGTCCATTAACTGCAGCTTTTTTTGCTACAGAATTTCCAAACTCAACAGGAGGTGTGAAGGTCAGGGAACCTTCTGGAAAGATGTGAGGCTCTAAGCTGAAGAAAGCCTTCTCTCTTTCCAGTAGGCTCTTCTACAAGAGGGAGAAACTACTATCTTCATTACTTTTGCCTACAGAAAGCGCATTTTAAAAAGCAACTCTTTTGACACCTGACCTGTCTGTCAATGCATACTGGGGTACTCTAAGCCACGCTAAAACACAGAAACTTTCTGAGGACTTAGCCTCTTCTCCTGGCGTTTAGATGTCCAGCAGGCTAAAATACAACAGCGCTGTCAAAAAGGAGAAGTCCTGGGCAGTGCACAATGCAGAACTCTTAAGGATGATCAAAAAGCCTGGAACAACTTCCACATAGGGGAACAACTATAGGGACTGTGATTCCCTGGAGAGAAAGCGTCTCAGAGAAAGAGAGGAGAGAACGATGGTCATGTTTTTGATGCAAGAGTAGGAGAACATTAAAATTAAACGTGCAGGTGGCAGGTCCAATATAAAGATACTTATTCTGCATAGACACAGTTAAACACTAGCATTCCCTGTTGCAGGACATTATAGATACCACTCAGATTCCAAGAAAACCAGACAAATTCATAAACACCTATCAAGGGCTTTCAACTACTAAGACGCTACACCTCTGACTGAACAGGTCCTTGAACTGCAAATCATTGATGATTAAAAGCTCATCTCTACTTACAGGTTTTACACTCTTCCTAGGCATCTGCTGTTGACTCAGTAGAGTCAACTCTTTTGTTAGGCACCCAGATGTAGAACGTAAGGCATCTAGGAAGATTAGGTGCTTTCATAAGCAAGCGGCTACTCATCAGAGATTTTCTAAAGCATCCAAGTCCAAAAGACCTACCTCATATTCTTAGAAACGGACTAAGAGCCCTATTTAATTATTGTCACTCTGCTGAATGATCTAGCTCCTTTTTTTCTGCCCTGCCCCCCCCCGCCCCAAACTTCAAGGTAATTAGTTTCACTCAAGTCAAGTCTTAAGCCTGCTAGCCCCCTTTAGTATAGTATTCTTTAGCTGAACCAAAATTGTATTTTAGAGATGGGAAAATGAAGGAAATCTCTTTCATGTGTTTACAATACCTGCTATACAATGAAGTTAAATCAGTAGCATGATGAATTGTAGGCATGCAGAAACTCAAGACATTTTACATGTATAAAGAATGCATGACTGAAATTCAGGCCACTGACTAGAAGAACATACCCCACCTCCAATCTAATCATGCCTAAATACCAAATTTTAAACAACTACGTAAAATCTCTTTTATGCAATTGGTTGAACTTCCATGCACAAACATCACATTCTTGAACTTATGCATCTGGGACCTGGGGATCATAACATCATACTTCAAATACTAAATTAACCAAATGCTAGATTAAATGCAAAATTTCCCAAAGATTATTGAATAGAAATTCCCTGTGTAAAGAAATTTGGTGAAGGTTAGGAGGACTAATTCAGTCATAGAAAATTCAAATAAAATCCAATCTCATTACAGAAAGAAGATAGGAGAGCTACATGTATTTGGCTTGTTTTGAAAATGGAAAAGGGTCAGAGGTAAGTGCATCAATCATGTTAAATAAAAAAGTCTGTAAACACTGGGTCAAGTAAGAATCTAGCAAAGCTCCTAACAAAAATATAGGTAAACTAGTATTTTTATATTACACATTTGCTATTGCAAAGATTTCAGCAACCATACAAAAGCAATGAACAATGATCCAAGACCAACTCCTATATATTTTCCACAAGAACAATTAGCTGAGGAATGACTGCAGAAACAGTCCAGAGACAAATAAAAACAGTTCAATTAAAGAACAAAACCAGATCAAGAGAAGTATTAGAAAAATAAATGGTTGGGGGGGAATCTACAATAAAGGTAATTATTCTAATAATGACATTATTTCTTAAAAAAGGTTACTTCCCCTATGTACTTAAATTTTGAAAATCTGGAAAGTTTTAGATGAGTCCATCAATTTATGAATTACTGAAAACAGTCCCATGCAGTCTTTTTTCCCTAAGTTTTCTTTCCATGTGTGATGACTCCTGTTAAGGAGAACAATCATCACCTAAAATAGATATCCCACTACCACAAACACTTCTCAGCTGACAAGTTGTTGTCACGCATCCAGGCTTGAGGTCTTTTCAAGAGTTTGTAAATCTGTCCTTTCCCTTTGCCAGGGCAGTCAGCACACGTCGCTTGTTACTATCTTCATTCCCTTTTCCCCACTACCTATACCCTAGAGGTTCCCTCCTACGCTCAGTGTCTTCAAGTGGGGTTAAAAGATGAATCTCGCTATTGTTCACTGCAAAGAATGTGCACTTTCCTTCCTTTACTCCGCTGAAGTGTTTGCATATCCCTGCATGCCCTTTCTCCATTACGCAAAATGGAGAAGTCTCAGTGAAGTAGTTACTCAATGAGACCTCTCAATAAGGTAGACTCCTTGCAGCAACAAACATTGCTGTTGATCTTCACAGGCAATACGTCCCTGAAGGAGAAGTCATAAAATATCTAAGATGCTCTGAAGATTCCCCAGTGTAGCCTCTTGTTCACTGACAGCTCATTACCATCTGACAATGCTTGAGGTTTGCGTATAGAAGTGTGGAATAATTACCTGGGGGGGCAAATTATCAAAACTAATTATTGAAGACACATTTATTAAGAGTAAAGCTATAACCACATTCTCAGCACATAAGGTATCTGCTGTGCACACAAGGAATCTGTTCTGTGATGGTTCCCCATCCCCAACTTCGCCTGCCACCTTGGATGGTAGCATACCAAGGAAGCTTGCTTGGTGTGTTAGCACCAAGAGGAACGGAAGGTGAAGTGGTGTGAAGATACTGCAGCCAGGCTTTGTGTACAAGGCAGGTACAGGGACTAGACACTGTGCACATAGCTGCTGTCAAATAAGAGATAAATATCCCTTTCCATCTAAAATGCTGGTGCTGAGCTAGCAGTTGTGGCGAAATCGTGTCCTGTGGATGAACTCTGCTCATTATAATACCAAAACACATCTCCAACCCAAAAGCTAGCCAGTTCTCTTTTACCTTTTTTTTGTCTATATCTTTAAAAGCGCAGTGAAAGAATTTTACACCAATCAATAACAAAAGTATGTAGGACTAGAGTCACTCAAGCTCCACCTAAACTTAGAAAATAGTATAAAATATCCTAATGATATGGGGAAGGGGGGCCAGACACCATCACTGAGAAGTCAAGGAACACCACAAACTTCTGGGATCAGTTAACGGGCTGAACCTATCTTCCCCACCCATAGGGACGCCTTTGGGTAAGACTCACACACTTGGTTATGCCAAGTGCTTTCTTGGGAAACTCAGAAGTCAAGGCTGTATCTGTAATCACATTAGTAGCACTATATGGTTACCTTAATATACATACATTTGGTACCAAAGTGTCTTTTTTGTAACCTAGGTGTATTTTCGCAGACAGTGTTATTAATCACTGGCTATTTAAAAGAACTTATATCTGTTGCTTTAATAAACCACATTATCTATGAATCTAGTCATGAGAATTTCCCACTGAATGTGCCCAGACTTATACTCTATATCATCCTATTCGTGAATCTGTGTAGGCGTGTAAATTGAATGATGTAACGATTTTGCACTATTAGCAGATCCGTACTCGCGTGAATTCAACATAATGCCATAGTGGCAGTTCAGCATGATCAGACTTAATAGTGTCAACTTGAGGCTATTTTGAGGAGTAACTGGGTGATGACTGAGTGATGACTCAGAAGCTAAGCTCAGCCATCCCCAGTCCCTCTAATATCTGAGGACAAGTTGGAAGGCAAGGGAGTTTAATTTCTGCCAAATTAATCAACCCTTTTAACACGACAATAACTAAAGTAATATTTAGTAATTAAGAATGCACAAATGCCTAATATCAACACACAGCAGCAGAGGCAGTCTACTCTACCTGTCTTTGGCTGATGTGCTAAAAAGAAATAAGCATTTTTGGAGACAGAAAGTAAACAGACAAACTGGATCTCTTCAGAAAAAAAACAACCACAGAAACTGAATATTACAAAAATGTAAAAAACTAACTGAATATAGTTATATTAAAACAATCTTGTGAAGCTGCTTCTATGGTAGGTCTGCCAAAATATACAGGAAAAAAATACAGACAAAATACTATCACCGAATAAGTCAAGGTGTACTTCTACTTCAGTTATTCTATGGCAATTATGCATATACAGTTAATCGACAGTAAATTAATTAGAAAAAAGATTACTTGATTTCTTCCCCAAGTGGCATTTATTTTTCAGAATTCACAAACATCAGTATTTTGAGTGTAATGACTTAAATGCATTAAGAAGTGTTGCCCCACTATTCCTACATTAACCAATTAAGGTTATTTGGACAAGACTTTAGTATCTTTCATGCACCATGAAGACTAACACTCACCAGGGGTACGTTAGATGTCTGAATGAAGTTAATAAATGCTCTAAATTATTCTTTCACCTGTATCCTCCAAGCCGTATCTCTCTCTAAACGAAAATCAGATTCTGAAATTTGACTCTCTAAGGAATTACTGCCTAAAGTAGAAGGTACAAAACCATGTTTTGGACAAAATCCTCAATCTCTCTCATGCAAGTTCAAACCCACCTCTTCCATTTTCTAGATATACCCTCTAGAGTTTTTTTTGTTGTGTAAGAAATGAAACATTTCTGAAAGCACAAGTAAACTATCTGGGACTTTCAACAGCCTAGAAAACAAGAAGTGTATTTATAGATAAATCCACTTTCTGATATCAAGACATGAGTTAGATTCAAAAATAAAAGTATGAATCAACAGATCATTTTCTTTTGAAAAAGTTACTTAAAAAAGAAAAATGAAAGAAAAAAAGAAAAAGCAAACTTACTTCTTCTTCATCAGGTTCAGCTTCCTCTGTTTCAACAGCTGACATACTAGCAACAGGCTTGTTCCATGCCAACTTTAACTCTTGTCCTTTAAAACGAGATCCATGAATTGCAGCCTAAAACAAGTTTAAGTGTTTTAGTTATGTATTTCTTTGTTAGGGGAAAAACTAACTTCAGTAATACTTAAATGCCAGAAATAAACCAAGAGTCTGCTTTTTCAAAAGAAAATCCAAGTTATAATATGTTCATACTGAATTACAGTTAATAGCTTAAAACAAAACAACTTCATTCACTGCACATGGAATTCACAGATCCTTTCAGTAAAACAATCAAATTATAGTCAGAAGAAAATAAGCTTGGAAAACCATAAATCATTTGGTGATGTAGTTAACATACTGAACTTGGTTTTTAATATTATCTTGATGGGTTGTTCACTTTTCAAAGACGGACACTGTCACCGTTTAAGGCTGGGCCAGCTCTTAAAACAGGTGGCAGATGCTCTCTGTTAATCCCCTCTGTAAAACTGTTAATGCATAACTTACCAGAAGCAAGACATTCCACAATGATTTAAAATATTTTTTAAAAAAAAAATCAAACCAAACAAGTAAAAAAAAGCCCCTTTGTGATTACAATTTCATCTACTGGAAAACATTCCACTTCCTGTAAAGCCATTGTAATTGAAATGTAAAAATTTTTAACTTCTGGGATATTCATGCCTTTCTAAGGACCAGCTGCATTAAGTGGCTGCTTTGGAAATAGTATGTTCAAATTAAAGTAACATGAATGAGCATAAATCAGCGTTAGCAACATTCCGAAATAACCATCATGGTCACAAAAGATTTATAGTACAATCTGAAAGCACAGCATAATGTGAAATGTAGAAACAATTACATGTTCAATGACATCTGAACATGAATTGTGTGATATTAAAGTCCCCAGGTATAAATTTTAAATCTGTACATATAAATTTATGATAAATTTAAAAGATTCTATGCTTATTAAAATGCAGCTCAGGAGCTTTTTGTCCATGGTCTCATCACAATGTCACACAACTAGAATTTTTAAAAGTACTTATATGTGACATTTAGGTGCAGAAACAACTTGTAATCTTTGGAAGAAATTACTACTACATAAAAATGCAACATTTTACAATAGGGAATCCTCCTCTTCCTTCCAGGCTAGAACATATATGGTCATAAACCCTAGGCCTATTTTCATTTAAGAAGGTAAAGTATTAGCTGCATTTACTTCACAATTGGCCTCAACAGAGGTTTTTAATGATTACCTTCGACAACTTCTCCAATTGCCAGTCTTAAATCTGCTCTAGTAGTAAACACAGAAATTCCAGTGGAAATACATTTTAAAATATCTTAAGGATAATACAGATTTTACTATATTTGATCAAATACAGTTTTCATAAAAGTTTAATTTAAAAATGAAGGTGCAATTAGACACAAAGTCATTCCACAATTAAAAGTTTTAATGCTAATTAGAATGTGGACTTCTCAAACACTGATCATGAATTCTGACCCAGCTAAAATATCCCCCGTTTCCGGAGGATATTCTGAATGTCACCTTGAATACAGCTTGAAATTTCCACCTATTATATTTGAGAGTGATTAAGGAAAAACATACTGATTTTTAAATGCAGTGAAATGCACCATAAAAAAAAAGATGAGTACATAATGTTGACTTCAATCTTTCCACCAAACGTATCTGCCCACATCTTTCCTCATTCTCTGCACAACCTTAATTCAGTTCACTTGTGTGTAATAATTATCACAGCTTTTATTAGTGAGCAGGTATTTCTTATCCTCCACAGAACTTTTATTCACTGTTGAACTGTGCTCCTTCAGTAGAGCTGTCCGCTACTGTTTTTCCCTATCAGTCAGTATATACTATGTACCACTAATTATACTTCCTTTTTTACAGAATAATTACAATCTCTGTAGAGTTAGTGCTCATCATTGCTGTATCTAAGAGTTTCACAAAATTTCTGTTTCCATAAAACACCTTTAGCATATGCATCAATGATACCATGAAGAGTTCAAAACTATGGGCCACATTGGCTTCATTTGCATTGTAAATATTTTTTCTGTCAATCAGGTCACTGGTGTCTCAAGATAAAGCATACAAAAGGAGAAGAGTCTGGTCAGGTATGAAAATCTGCAAGATGAACTCTGTGCAAAGACAGAAACTTTGTGCAAAATATAAACATAAACCAAAATCTTTCCATACAACCATACCATAAATATGAATCCACTCTTTACGAAGTCCCTGTTATTTTCAGGATACTCCTTCCCAACAGTGATGCAACGATTTTAAAGAAAACAAAATCATTTGCAGAACAACTATGTTCGTTATTTTGTGCAGCTTCACATACTGCCTACACCATGGACTGAATAAGGTAGGAGTCCCGCTGAGCCAAATGTATAAAGTCCTAATGATTCGTATGTTAAGGATGCTGAATTACAACATACACCAACTCTGGATTTTAGTCTCCAAAAGTTACTTCGATTATTCCATACTTCTGTAATTTCCTAAATTTCTAAAAAATATGCTAAAAAAGGAAAAAAAAAAAAAGGGGGGGGTGGGAAATCCCATCACATCAAACCACAGTAACACTATCACAGGGTTTCAGGCAAACGTAAATCCAACTGATCCCAAACAAAACATTATAAAAAAAAAAACATCACTTTGCATGATGTCAGTAAATTTTCAGGAAACTGTGAGAGTACCAAGTCTTCAGGTGAAAAAAAAAAAAGGCAATTAAATAAACCAACACATAGAGCTATCAATTCCCAAGTATTTATCTTAATTTCTCTCTTACATCCTGTACTGGAATTTGCTATAAACATTCTAATTTCCTAAGTATTTCAGTGATATAGTGTTCGACAGCTTTGTTTAATCTAGAATTAAACTTCTGCATCACGACTTCTTTTAAAATGTTTTAAAATAATTAGTAGTATTACATTTAATCAAACACATAAGTATAATGTAACTAGAAAGTAGTTGAATGTTGCAGAGTACTTTCAACAAATACTATACTCACAGCTTCAGCTTCTGCTCTTGTTTTAAAGGTAATCACCGCATGGAGAGAAGAGTCATCTATCTGGCAATCTTCAATTTCACCATATTGCTTTTAATAAATAAAAAAAAAAGCTTAGTGAAATAGTTCTCCACCTCTAAAAATGCTGTCCTAAATAAATGCCCTCAAAAATCAGATAAAATTAGAATAGTGTACCTTTCACAGCCTTAATGTCAGAGTACTTGTCTTTGCAAGGAATAGTTACTTTTACTTGCATTTCTAAAACACAAAAGTGCTGTAAAGTCTCTGAATTTCCTGATTGTAAACAGACAGGTATGAAGTAAAATTATGACAGAAAAAGAGGTTGTTCTAATTCAGTACTTCTCTCTTGATCAGAAAAAAGGGCTCTGGAGATGATTCCATTAGTCTATTATGAAACTCTTCCACAAAAAAGATTTATTAGATGCAAGGACTGCTGAAAAAGTTTCAAAACTTAACTTGATTTCACCATCTTAAGAATCTGACCCATCTATTCTTGTGATGGTCTCTATGGTATTGCTACCTTTAATGCTGCCATCACTGCAAGCTGCAATGCCCAACATACCTGTACAGGTAGAGTACACTGCTGATAAGCAGAGCATTGTCATATCATATCACAGAAACAGAAATACCGCTCAGTTCATTTCCATGGAATTTGGAGTAAGTTTAAAACAGCAAACGCACAACCCATAAAATGAAATTAGCATTTTTTCTCAGTGTTATGCTACTAACACTGTGAATTGAATTGTATTTGTTGATGCTACTAAGATTTATTTTTTTTTAGTTAATATTTTTGTTTGTTAAAGATAGTAAGTTTAATACTCCCTGCAGTAAGACCAAAGTATAAGAAAACGCTAAGTTCTGAGCAAATTTATGACCATAAACTGACAGCACACAGCAAGTTTTTAACAGTGGTAGATTCTCCGTCTTCATTTTTATATTCCTTACAGTCAGTATGAGAAGTACATAATGAAATGAAAAATATGAAAGGTGACCAGCAAAATTTAACAATATTCATAAGGCAGGCTAAATCATAACATAATGCTGTAGATTAAAAATACTTTTTTTCTTATACTCATCATTGAAACTAGACTCAGAAAGGTCCTATGGGTGACCAAGTGGATTGTATTGCTTCATTTTAAAGTTATATGTTCTTAGTTTTAGATCAAAAATTTGTGAAGTCATTGCTCGAATGTTCAATGCACCACACATCTCTACAGAAAACACTTTTATTTCCCTTAAATACACATATATATGTCTAGTATGTATAAATGTTTGGTCTGTCATTTACCTCTATAGAAAGTAATTTTGTTCCCCTATATAGGTATGATGAGGTGTATTTAAGTGGAACAAAATATATATGTACATTAAGTGTGTGTTTATATATACAGCTTCTGGGAATGACACCTTACAAAATCCAGTATAATTGTGGCAGGGTTTGGGGGGGGGGGTTTTGTTTGTTTGTTTGTTTTTATTTTTAAAAAGGAGAGACAGGTCCTTGTTGGCTCTTGTTCTTTTGAAAAGCTGCTTGTATGGCTGCCAGGCAGGGAATATTAAGGACATTGACTAGAGTTTACTGAACTTACTGGCTCTTGGACTTCTAACTTCAGAGAGGACGACTGCAATTAAATATTGAAAAAAACCCTAACAACCCACAACCAAACAATGGGGGACCATACACGAAGATTCACACAATTTATGCCACTAGATATTAACATTCATTTCACAAAATAAACAAATTTTCTTTTATTATAACCTTTTATTATAGAGGATAAGGTTTTTTAAGGATTTATGTTCATTTCTCACTTTATTATATTTGAAAATAAAAATTTATTTAACACCAATTTATCATTTTTTAGACTAAAAACAGAAAAAAAAGGTAGAAAAAGCTCTGACTTTGTAAGCTTACAGACATGAACAGACAGAAACCTTTGGCTGCCTTGCCAAGATCTGCATATAGTTGCACAATTCTCATCTTGGTTCTTAAATTCAGAAAGTTAGGCATTTTCAGTGAAAATTTTCATTAAGTACTTGTTAAGATACTTCAATAAAGATAAAACAGACTTCAGGTATTGAAAGTCTGGCACTGAACCAGTCTTTGTTCTCACCATCCCTTCAGTTATTTTATCTTTCTATACCTAAAAATTTGGGAAAATTTTATAATATTTATTTGTTCAGGATATATCTAAGTCATTACTTTATATTCTCAATTTCCTTTCTTTTTAAGAAAAAACGAAACCTTGTAAGTGTTATGCAGTTACATTCATAACTAGTTGAATCAATGGTGTAATTTCTCTTTGTTTCACCTTTTTCTGATGCATCCTCTTTTTCCATGAACAGGTATATCACGTTAAAGATTCATTCCTAAATAATATTTCCAGATGAATCGAATCAAGAGAAAACAAGTCATTCAATAGAAGACTGTCATCCAAAGGAACAGGAAAAGTGAAATTGTCACATACCGCAAAATGAGGAAGAAGATCTTCTCTATCACTTTCTGTAAACGCAGAGATTTCTAATGCCCTAGGTCGATGATCCACAACTGCATGCACAGGAACTCCTCTGCCTCTACCCCGGCCTCGTATTCCTCTACCTCTGCTACGTGATGCACCCCGACCTCTTGCATGAACCCCTCTACCACGAACTGAAGAAAGAATCCCTCGTTTGGCAGCCTAAGATGTTTATACATAACATATTGATGTATTAAAATTCATAATAAATATTTAGACAAAATTAACAAACACGTATTCTGACGTTTCCTAAAAACACATCCCTAAACAAGCCTCAGAAACAGCAGCTTACAGGTCTTAAAATAACAAAAGGTGAACATGTTAATAACATTAAAAAGCTAACACTGTTAATTATTAACAGATGAAAAATAGGATGCAAACAGGAGAAAAGAATCAGATATTAAAAACAGATATCAAAAGAGCCCTTATCTGTGTGGATAATTCCTTGTCTCTTAATTGGTCTCTGAAAGTCCAGTCAGGACTTTTATTCTGACCAGAATATTAACGCAGCACAATAGCTTTTGGCTATAGAATTGTGAGGTACGGAAACAGAAGCTCTAACGAGCACCTCCAAGGACAAAGTAATCATTAAAAAATTGGCTCTACGTACTCGCTAATTTCCATTCCCACAATACCTGTGTATCCTTTCTAAAGAACTGGCATGCACTCTCCAAGAAAAGTCAGAAGGCCGATGACGGTATCTCTGACAGCCAATTAAAAAAATAATTTGTAAAAGTTATTTTAAGAATCAAAAAAGCACTTTCAAGGATTTAATTTCAACATTTATAACCACAAAAAAAAAAAAAAAATCTTTTCAAACCCAAATAGATCTGACCTAAGAATCAAATGTTAAATGAAATCGACGTAACAATATTTTAAACACACCCTACAGTGTTTACAACTCAAGCACTGATAGCACTACTTTAATGCATGCCAGTGGTATTACCCATGAGGAGATCAATCTGTTATGGCTTTATTCATGAAACTATTCACATAATTTGACAATGCTATATAGTTCACGTTTTATTTTTTGTAGAGAATCATGCGGGTCTTGGGTTTGGATTTTTTTTGTGTTTTTTTGTTTGTTTGGGTTTTTTTTGTAGCATTTATAAATGGTTAAATGAATAATCCAGAAAGTTAAAGCTTATGCTGACTCAACAATCAAGCTGTATACTGTTTGGGTTTTCTCACAGTAAAATCAGGGCCATCTGGAAGAAAACAGCAGGTTATGAGGCACAGAAGCAACACTTGAATAATGTCAGAGTTAAAGTCACAAAGACAATGTGTGAATAAAAGTTTTTCTAAAGAGTTTGTAAGACTACTGCAGAATCAAACAAACATCAATGGAAAAAATCCCATATCCCTCTTGTAAGTTATACAAGGGATACACTTCATGCTGTTCCCTGAAACATACTGGTCTGCTTTACTAATAACCCCATATTTCTCCATCTACTTTGATCAGTATTTGCCAAAGGCTTCAAAATTTCATTTTAGTAAAATTATTTTCCTGAAAGAGCTACAATTTTTTTTTCCAACTGAAAATACAGAGTCAATGAGAGATGGAGTAGGATCAGCACACTCAACCATGGTGCAACTTTATCTTGAATGAGCACCTACTTTTTTACTGCTATTTTACATCATTCAATTCACATGTTTTCTAAAATGCATGCTTTATAAATAAGCTTTCGGTACACTTATGAAATATTATTCACCATCAGAATATATATTGTCAACATAAGCTTTTATGTCATCTCTATTCAATTGGCTTGACTAATTAACAAACCTATTTTCACAATTACCAAAGCTGCATAACAACTTAAGTTTTAAAGTAAGATTTTAATACAACTTAGCCGTATGTATGTGCACTGTGTTCACATGTAGTTATACATAAGACATGACCAAACTTCATTAAGACAAGAGGAATTTAAGCGACACAGCAGCCTGCTTAACAGTAAAAAGAGATAAGATTATCATGCAATTAAGCAGATATTACATAATCATATAGGCAAGACAGTGCAATATGACAAAGAATAACATCCACAGCATTCAGAATTTCTCAAAGACACAGATATGAAGAATCTTGCACAGTCTTCTCAATTTTTTTAAAAGCAATTACTTTATGAAAAAGCACGTTTCTATACATTAAACACTTCTCGAAACATTGTATTTGCTTTTGGTTAGAAGTCCTTCTCTTGAAACCAATGCTTTAATAGTATTACTTTTGGCATTTCAGCCTTTTTGGTTAATCTCATTAAGAGGATGCTAACACTCAGGAATAAAAGATGAAGCAGAGTTTTTTAACTCTTCTGTATCAAACACACCATCACCTACAGGCAACAACTGAAAAACACTTCACACTCTCAAGGAAGTATTATTACCACAAATCTATAAAATACCATGTCATCTAAATAGTTACAGAATTTGAATAGATTAACAATCAAAATTAAAGATACTACTATTTCTCTGCTTCAGTGGAATTTTAAATATTATTGCTAAATGCCTCCGTCTACATGCAACTTACTATTGCAGTCTGGAAAAAATAGTTTATGATACAATACACAAGCTAATAAACATATACGAAAATATTTGATTATAAGTTAATTGCTACAAAAGAAGAGACAAACATACTTCCAGCTGTAGCTCTGTATATTTTCGTCTTAATTCAGTAACTTCCTCCCCAGCTTGCATCTTCTTGTATAAATCCAGTTCAGTATCTAGTAACTCTTTCTGCATCTAAGAAATTGTTATGGTAAATTATTAGTTCCACAGTTCACGTTCTCTATTGAGGAAACAAATTTCTGATAAAACCAAAGAATCTATTGCTACGTTCCTATCAGCAGGTTATTTCAGAAATACGCAGCAACTTAAAGATTGGCCAGGTAAGGCAGAAGTCTGCCACAGCACCTCTGTCTGTAAAACAGATTCCTAGAAACTCTAAGGAAAGCGAATTTGAAAACTTGAAGCTGTAGTGGAATTTTAAATTTAACCAAGTTCTGGCTTATTAATCCAGATCACAGTTGCAACTTTGCAGGTATACTTTGCTACATTTCCACCTTCAAAAACAAACCAAGCACAAGCTTAGGAGCCTTCTTGGCAAGATAAAACTTCAATGTGTAGTAGTATGTTTCTGACCTTGGTGATGTCAAACATTCTAGATTACCACACAAAGGCAAAGCCAATGGAATTTTTTCTAAACTAGAGACACCGAAAATAGAAAATGCAAAATTACATGGTAGTGAGGATGAGATAAAAAGGGATTCTACAAAAAAAAGGCAGTACAATTATGAATAAATACAAAATCTGTAACAAGCATTGAGAAAAAGCATCTAAGTTTATCACAATTCCATAATGCAAAAAGCACAAATGGTAGTTCTGTTCAGATCATGGTAGGAAAAAACCCACAGTAACAAGACCTCTGCTAACAAAAGGTTGGTCTGTGATGCACCCGAAGTTGTCTTCCAGCACACAGTACCTTAAAAATATTATTACAAAGTTCAAAAATACATATGTGAAATTGAAAGGTGTCTCTGAATTCAAATTTAGACATACTCACTGCAACCACTGAGCTGCAGGTACTGGTACAGCTGCAGTAAAGGGCTTTATGCGACCACGAACATTTTATTTGAAGTTCTGTTCCAAACTGAAAGCTTGCTTTTTTTTTTTTTTAAGTGGAAAACGCAGAGGCCAAATGTTCCAGTGACATCACAAATGAAGGATAAAATTACAGATGACTGTGAAGCAGTTTTACATTTACACTCATTGATTCAAAACCACAGCATGCAATGTATTTAAAGGTTAGTTGTCAAGAGATGAAGGTTTCGCAGTTCTGACAGCTGGAAACCAAGTATCACCACTGAATTATAAAGAAGGGATTTTTTTTGTTTCTTTGTTTTTTCCTGGAGGCTTTAAAAGAAAAAAAGCTGGATTATTCAACTGGTAACTTCAACCTGAACCTCTTTCAGCCCCATTTTCTGATTATCTACAGCAACCACAGAAAAAAATCCATTTATTTCCTTTATAATGGTTTTCAAAGTTTTCAAAATTGGAAACCGTATTTCTCTCAAATCCCACTGTGTTGCAACGCATCAATGACATGGCAAAACAACGACTTCCGAAGTTTAATAATGACCAGCAGTTAGAACTCACAAAGTAGCCAGTGACACTGGTGTCGTAAAGACTTTTGAGGTTTATTTCTAGTGCTCTTAATGAAGACTTCTCTTTTATAAAGATGTGTCAGGTCTCAAGAAGAAAATACCTCCTTCAAGATACACCAAGGGGCAGCAAAGGTTTCTACACTCAGGGGGGAAGAGTATTTTATAATCTGCATGAACTGGAACAAGACAAAAATAGGTAAAGACAATGGCACAGTCACATGGGCATCATCTTCAAGTTTGCAGGGTCTTCTGAGCTCCCACGTTTTAAACGCTAAGAAAATGCAAGAGAATCTAGAGTAAAGTCTTCAGAAAATTGTCAAAGTTGTAAATTTTAACTGAAGGCTGTTAATTCCTCACTTTCACAAAGGTCAGATGGGACTGATTGTTTTCTCTCTTTCAAATGTTAACAAAACAATGCTTACAGATAACACACAATCTCCCTGAGAGGAAAGTTATCAATAAAATCAACTTTTCTACAGTTCAGATATTTTGTCCATGATGAAATGCGTTTGCTTAAAATGTTTCTTCACTTTTCATATTACAAAGGAAACAGAAAACCAGCTCAAGAACTTCATTAAAACTGTAATTCAAATTAGCATATCACCTCACTTCACTAAGTAAAATCAACAGTCACACGAGAAAGTGGTGGACCAGGCTGCCAAGCAAAGGGTGATGTTGGCAGAAGAGATCTCAAGATCCACAAAACCAGGTTAAAGGGGGACCACCTCAAGCATACACATACCAGTCCACACTAATGAAGGAGGGCCTACAGAACAGCACCACGAGGGAAGATCTCATTTCTTTTCTGGGAAATCAGTGCCTCTCTGAAAAGTCTGTACGTTAATGCACACAACATGTGAAACAAAGAGGGGGAAGTAGATGTCTGTGTGCAATTACAGGGCTACAATCTCACTGGGACTACAGAAAGATTGTAGGAAAACTCACACAACTAGAGTGGTCCAGTGGACCAATACAGCGTCCTGGTTTTGGCTGGGTTAGAGTTAATTTCTGCTTAGTAGCTGGTACAGTGCATTTTGGATTTAGTGTGAAAATAATGTTGGTAACACACTGATATTTTAGCTGTTGCTAAGTAGCGCTTATCCTAAGTTAGTGATTTTTCAGCTTCCCATGCTCTGCCAGCAAGGAGGTGCACAAGCAGCTGGGAGGGAGCACAGCCAGGACAGCTGATCTGAACTAGCCAAAGGGATATTCCATACCATAGAATGTCATGCCCAGTATATAAACTGGGGGAGTTGGCTGGGAGGGGTCAATCACAGCTTGGAGATCACTGCTCTGGCATCGGTCAGCGGGTGCTGAGCAACTGCATTGTGCACCACTTGTCCTTTCTTGGGTTTTATTCTTTCATTATATTCCTTTTCATTACAATTATTCATATTATATATTAGTAGTAGTATTGTTAGTATTATATTTTTAGTTATTAAACTGTTCCTATGTTAACCCATGAGTTTTACTTTTTTTCCTGATTCTCCTCCCCATCCCACTGGGAGCGGGGAGGAGTGAGCGAGTGTTGGTGTGGTGCTTGGTTGCTGGCTGCGGTTAAAAATTCTCTTAAGGAAGGACAAGCCAGGGTAGCGAGGAGCAGGAGTTGCCCTTTATGTGACAGTGCAGTATGAATGCACAGAGCTCTGCCTGGGGACAGATGACGAGCCAGTTGAAAGTCTGAGTCAGGATTAAGATGGTAGACCTATGCAGGTGACGTTGCAGTGAGTGTGTACTACACACTGTCTGATCAGGCAAAAAAAGTAGATGAGGCCTTCTTCAGACAATTGGAAGAAGCCTCTTGATTGAAGACCCAAGGCCTGAACATCTGCTGGAAAGGCAGGATGATTTTCAAGAATCACATCCTCCAAGTTCCAGAGTGCGCAGGAAATGAATCAAAGGTGGCAGGATGCCTGCCTGGACGAACAAGGAGATCCTAAAAAAACTGAAACCCAAAAACAAGGTGTACAAGAGATAGAAGCAGGGTCAGATGACAGAAGGAATATAGAGAAACTGTCTGAGCGTGCAGGCACTGGTTTGGAAAGTCAAAGCCCACCTAGAATTGAATCTGGCAAGGGGGGTGAGAAACAAACAGAAAGGCCACAGCACGTCTATCAGCAGCAAGAACACTATGCTATGAAAAGTGTGCGCCAATTGCTGAATCTGAAAGGGGACCTGCCAACAAAGGACATGGGAACAGTCAAGGTACTCAACACCTCCTACTCCTTAGTCTTTAATAGAAAGACTTGCCTTCAGCAATCCCAGATCCTGAGACTAGTGGAAAAGCTTGGAGCAAGAGACTTATCTTTGTCAGAAGAGAATCAAGTTAGGAAACATTTAAACAAACTGGACATACACAAAAACCTGGGACCCAACAGGATGCACCCATTAAGTACTGATGGAGCTCACTGATGTCACTGCAAAGCCAATCTCAATTATCTTTGAAAGACCAATGGCATCTGGGGGAGGCTCGAACCTCTGAGAAAAAGCAAGTACTGAGAAAACGCAAGTATCACTCTGATCTTCAAGAAGAGCAAGGAAATGTGGGAAGTACACGCTGGTCAGCCTCACCAGTAACCCTGAGAGTATGAAGGAGCAAATAATGGAAACCATGTCCAAGCATATTAAGAACATGCAGGTGATTG